ACCGACCCGTAGTTTCTTTGAGCATCAATCCAGTATTTTCTGAAGGCTGGTGGAAGGTTTGACATTCTCCAGTTGTTTGGGATCTCTCCCAGCCCGTGAGATTTCTAATTCGATAGGGAGCAGTTTCATAAAGGCCAGCTCTCTAGGCACCCTCGGATGCAGCGCATCTGGTCCAGCAGACTTGGATGGGTTGTTGTGGTGGAGAAAACAGTAACATGAAAAGCCATCTCTGTTCAACACTCTAAATACCTTATTCTTACTTGCATTTCCCTGGAAATTGGCAGGACTGTATTACGACTTTCCATATCTGAGATCATTACAGAAAGCAGCTCTCAATATAAAATCCCACTGCTCTGTTCAGGGGAAAGAGGACGAGGACTTCTTTGAAGACTTTGACATTGTTCCAAAATCTGAACATCATTTTCCTGAGACCTCACTGAGGCCAACTCTTTGCAATCACAGGAAACAATGTCACATAAACCCTTCCATAAATTTAAGTAAGTTATTAAAAGAGTTTCTTAATCTCACTAGTCTAGTTGAAAAGCTGTTTGGGACACTTCTAATTTGCCTCCTAAACATACACACATACACATGCTTTTCTCTGTCATTACTTATTGTGCTGAACTGAAGCACAAGATTGTAGCTTTGGTTACCTGTATGTTAGGTTCTCTATTGCTCCTATCATACAAGCTTCCTCCCAATTTCAATTTAGATTACTTGGGCTGCAGATGGCCAGAACTAGATGTGTAATATTGAATATATACCATGACTAATGGACCATGAAAATACACAGAAAATAGACACAGAATTTATGTGACATCTGCAGACCATCAGTATTCAGTCTGTTTGCATGTTTAATTTGTTTTCACCTTGTCACGTTCACCCTGTAAGAATCACCAGGATATGTCGAATATACATTAAGTTCCCTGCTAACTAGGAGGAGCTGTGGTATCCCTCGAGGGTAGAGAGGCCTTACAAGCTGACCTGGGTAGACCAGAGAGCTGGGCAACCACTAACCATAGGCAATTTAATGAGAGAAAGTGCCCACTTCTCCCCTGGGATGGGGTAATCCTGGTTATACACAGAAACTGGGAAGTGTGAGCCTGGGAAGCAGCACTGTGTACAATTCAGTTTCATCATCTACTCAGGATGCCTTTTTCACCATCCTTAGGGCACTGTGAAGTGTAACACATGCATCTTCAGCAAGAGAGACAGTGCAAATAGTAAGTCCAAAGAGTGCCTCTGTTCCTGCATGTTTACTTTTGAATAGTAACATCTTCAGAAAGCTGATGCTTTAGGCAAGGCTTTGAGTTCTATGAATTACAGTTATTTCACACTTTCAGCAATGTGACACAGTGTTTCATATAGTTTTCTTATGATCTCCCAAAGAGGATTAAAAATGTCTGTTGTGCACTATGGTTAAGGTGGCAAAACTTCCCCCTGACACATGTATCTGTGGCCAATACCTAGAGTTGTGTGATCATGCACAGACAGTGAGAGCAATAAGAGGAAACACCTCTCACTGCACCATGAGAGTGCAGCTCAGCCTAAGAGAAAGAACAGGACAGAGCTGTGTAAGTGTACATCATACATTTATTACTGAACAACTCTCTCAACTCCAAAATTGGGCACAGGGATTAAAAATAAAAATTCATTGCACTACCTAGTAAAGCATTACTAGTAACTCTCATAAAAAATGTACAAATTTTGTTAAAAATTTATCAAGCCTTCAAATGATTTGGTTACAGATATTTATAATACATTTAAAACTACGTGTTAAATGATACAATAGCATATGATCTAAAGAAAACACTTGACAAAATACAATTCCAACAAAACCCATAAGCGATCATAATCATTAGCAAATCTGAAACACACGTAGGAAATGAGGTAACGATGTACCAAAGGAAAACAACACAGCTTTTACAAAGGCCCAAAGATAACTCAGTCAAAAATGTGTTGTCTACAATTAAAAAAGTTGGTAAATCTCATCCCAAGTAGTACACAATGTAATAACTGCTGTGAAATCACATTCAGGAGCCTGTACAAAAAGGCATTCAACAAAAAGGCTTTTTTTTTTTTTTTTAAAGCCACAAAATGAGACATTGGAATTATCTGTAGGCCTTGATATCCACCAGAATGTCAAACTGACAGTTTACGAAACAAAAACAACCCCACAGCAGTGACAATGTGATAAAGCAAACATGTTACAGTTTTTCTCGTTTTCATTGGGAAGAAGGAGCCAGCTGATGGCAGAAAGGCAACAAACACCAGAACAGCGTTGCTGAGTTTGGGGGCTGCCAGGCACGGTGTCAGGCTGCGGCACTGCACACAGATGCGCGCAGCAGCTGGACGCGCACCCCCCTCCCTCCGCAGCAGGACGACGCGGCCGTCGCTTCCTGCGCTGTCCTGAACATCCCCACGTGCTGCCGCTCGCACACACCAGCCACAGGAACCGAGTCCACAAGCACCTGCAGGAGTCCCACACAAACCACAGGACCCTTCCAGGAGAGATGAGCCATGAGAGTGCAATGATTTATTTCAGGGCTTTACCAGCTCAGACCCTCTGTCTCCCACCACCTCACACGGTTTTAGTGGGGAACAAGGGACATCACACATGAGGATTTCTCTAATTCCGGAGAGAGGACCACTTTCCCTTGGCCTCAGAAAAACGTGTCCTGTTCACCTGTATCTAGCTTAGGACAAGTGGCCTCTTTCCATGCTTTGAACTGACTACTGAGCACAGTCGTGTTATGCTGAAATCCGTACACACAGAACTTTCTCTTTCGTGGTTCTATAAAAGAGCCCAAGTTTTGTAAGACATATGTGGCTTATGCTTCTTAAACAACATGATTTTATATTTGTTAAAAAAATAAATTCTATTACATGTAATTTAACCTGCTAGGTGTTACTGTGAAAAGCCTGTTCTGTAACTCCACTGGAATATGGGAGAAATTCTAATACTCTGAAGTTCACGTAACAGTGTTCTTATTTATTTAGTGTTTTTGAGTATGGACAGGTATGGAAAGACTCACTGGATCTGAGAACTACCTGCATAACTAAAGAAAGGGAAGAGCATCTGAAACAGGGCAAAATTGTGCTTTCACTTTATCTGCACCAAGAGCTGTGGCTGGTCTGTAGAATCTTCAAAGAGGGAAATCAGCATGGAGAAAATCCAACGCTGTTTGAATTATAACTAATACTAAAGCATAGCAGCATAAAAAAGCATCAGAAATGGTCAAGAATGGACATAAAGCTGAGTCTGGCAGCAAGATGCAGCAATACTGCTGATTGTGCCACTTGTAGTGCTGCAACCCAAGCAATGACACTATTTAGGAGAACAATTTTGTCACAAAAAGTGCATCCTTTGAGTAACTATGGTATAGGCAGCCCTAAATATTTTGCCAGAACATACTGATGATGTTCACAGTCTGAATATTATAAAGGAAGCTATTATATTTTTTTGCAATAGCCCAAATAAAAGATCATTCAGAGCACCTGAACAGAAGTTATCACCTCCTGTTTCACAGCACTGTTCTAGAAGGTGCTGTTCCAACTTTCTCCTACAGTGGAGTGCTTTGGAGACTTGATTGCAAATACCAAGGGAGTTCCTTCTTCACAGTACACCCATCATGAAATAAGGAAGAGCAAAAAGCAGCATCACGGCAACTGAATTCTGCAGTTAGTCACCAAAACCCACCTTCTCCTGTGGTACAATGAAGGAAATAAGAATTTCTGCTTCTCTGAGAAAATGCTAAAAAAGTTTTATTTTATTCACAAAGTTGCAGAAAAAAAACTGTAACCTTTTACAAGTTATTTTAGTTGTATACAAACTCCCTTGTAAATGACAAAGAATGTATGTGATTAAAGCCAATGTTTGTAAGCTAAAAGATTACTTTCTTAGCAAGTACAATGGCCAAAAGTGGAGAGCTGTTGCATAAGACCCTCAGTCCTTTCTGCTTCCTTTCATGAAGGAAGCACAAAACTGGCAAACCCAGCTGGAAAAATTTAAAAGGAGAAGATAAAAGCATTGATATTCATATTAGCAACTGAAAATATTAATATTGCTAAATGATTTGTGCGATACTGCAACTTTATACTGATAAAATAACTTGTAAATCAGACGTTTAAAAATTCAGACTTTTAAACGCACGCTAATAACCCCAAGGTCACTCATGTATAACAATCACTGCGCTCTTTAGTGGTACACATTTAAAGCCTCCAATGAAGGGGAAGCATAACAGCTGTTGTTGGAGTAGTAGGTAGAAAGGTCTTTATACCTGTAAGTACATTGGAGAGGAAATACTAAATGTCTGTAATTGCTGCACCCATCGCATTCAGTGTGCAACTGCAAACACAAGGAAAGGAACCAGTGTACAGTACTAGTACTGTTTAAATAACACACAAGATTATACATTGCAGCATAATTATTACTACACACATACGTTCTCAGTACATGCTGGTATATAGGTTCTCAGACACACGTGCACACTCAGTCACAAGCACACGCCACACACCCTCTCACAAGCAAACGCACACTCGCACCACCCATTCCCACTCACAGTATCTGAAGGCTCTATATAAGGTAGATTGCTATATGGTCTGGAGCTACCACTTTTTTTTTTTTTACTTTTTTTTTTATATAAAAGCACATGCTAGAAGATCACGTCCACAGTAATCTCGCAGCAACACTCGGAATGATCACACAAAAACCAGGGAATGTTAGTGCACACACAAAATTAAGCTAAAAAAACCCAACCAAACAAACAAACCCAAAAATAAAAATCTTTGGAGTTCCACTCACTCTGTTAGTATAACAATCCCATAACTGTGAAGACTAGTTATAAGCTTTATAATTGATTAAGTCACACAGTGCAAAGTAAGGTCCATTGACCCTTTTGTGTAAAGGGCAGGCTGGAAGCCATGTGGGTAAGTTCAATAGACAGTTCGTATATACACGTGACAGGAACATCCAAACCAGGTTTGTGCTCTTAGATTGGTCATTCTGAATCACGGTGCACTTCCGAAGCATCAGCTCTACAAATCGGGCAGGTCCGATTTGCCTGTGAAAGCAGAAACAGAAGAGGGATTACTGCACTGGCACACACTGTTGAGGTGATCTGTACATGACACTGACATCTATGAGCACTGAAAAGCTACTCAACAGTACTCAAAACAAAGTATGATTAAGGTATGATTAAGTTTGCCAATTCAAAATTATGTGTACAAAAAAAAAGTGCCTTTTATGTTTAAAGTTAAAGCAAAAGAGCAAATGAGGCTTCATGTAAGTGATGGTGGGTTTATTAATGAAGATTCATAGTTACAGTATATTGCAATCAGGTGGATAAAACTTAGAAGATTACTATGTGGTGCAGAGAAACCCACCAAAACCAGACGTGAGGTGCAAATCAATGTCCTATATGAGGGTGTCACACTGTCACACGCTCTACTGATCAAGGATCACATGTCTTTGTACCCTGCCCACTCAGTTATTCTCATAGAAACCCACCATATAGACTTGGTGAAAGCTGAAAGCAGACCTGGGGAAAAGTGAAAGGGTTTTGGTGAAAAGAAAGGGAAGGGGAAGGAGGAGGAGGGAGAAGACAACCTGACGGAACAGGTATTCAGGTAACACGCAGCACCAGGGCTAAACTGAGCAAAGCACTCACTGAAAATATGTCCTGTGACCCCTTTACTTCTGTAGTTTCCTTAAAAAGATAAGGCAGATGAGAAGTAATATTCCTTAAGCTACAGGGAGAGTACTTCTGCCTTTTCATCTCCCTTTTCAAATAAAGGCTAATTTCATTTTACCAAATGGTGAGAAAAAGACCCAAACAAATATATAACATCTTTGATAAAACATTTCCTTAGTGGAGGGGTGAGGGAAGGGAACTATTCCCTGCCCCAAATCCTGCATTTTTACAGTCCCTAGAACTGCAGGACTAACCACTGTCAACTCCATTTTTTTCTAACGTGGCCAAAGTTTTCAATGAAGACAAGCAAGAGCATCAGAAATGGGGCTCTACAGGCCAGACTTCAGAAACCACTGCCACAAACCTGAAACCCAAATAATAAATTCCAATAAAAACAACATGTTATTACTGAAAACCATTATTTAGTGATGCAAGTTAAAATGAGGGTGTATTTCTGCTGTCAGTTACCACTGTAATTATTGTTTTATAATTTATAGCGTAGTTATTACTTCGTATTTTCTTGTAAAGCATGAATTGGAGAATCAATTCAAAATTCTTTTCTGGCTCTTTCACTAGCAGTTCTGAAATTACTTCAGGATGATGCCGTTACTTGGTCACTACTTTGTGTTCACATTATCCCCTATATAATGCAGCTAATATAATTTTTCAAATAGAAAGGCATGTTCTTCAAAATTCAACAGAATAATGAATCAAGAGGTATTTGCTTAGATAAATAATGAAGTATCTACCACTTGTAGCATGAAACAGAGCATTCAGTGGGAGTAATCTCCTGACAAGAACTGACAGAAATAGATCCACTAGAGACCCTGCAGCACTGCCTTTTGAGTAACTTCTCAAGATCCTACATGAACACCAGTTTTAAATACAGTTGCATTCTGGTGCCTTTATGGAATTTATTCCCCCTTCCTAGCATTTAACATGACTCTTTGGTGCAAAAAGAGGAGTAAGATGGACATAATACTGTTATATTGACCTTCTAACTAGCCACTCTGTCAGGCAACTTACTTTTTATACTGTAAGAAGAGAGCTGCACAATGAATTAACCCAATTAATTATGGAAACATGACTAAAGTGAACCACATTTAGCATAATGAATATGTAGGGCTACTAAAATGCTCCAAAAAGCATTGCACTGCTTTGGTGTTAGTGTCTTTTTCCCATATATTATGTACAGCATTTCCTGTAAGAACGTGAAATACAAAGGCAAGTTGTCTTTGTTCTCTTGTTTTAAACCCTGAGGGTGATGACAGGTCAAGTTACTAAGCTATCCTTTGGAACATGACTAACCCTTACTTTACAAAGAACAGATTTCTGGTGTATTTACAGCTAATTAAAGGATCTAGGATATTAACAAGTAACCAAAGGCTGTGAAATTTAACAGCTGACGGTACTACGAAAAGCAAAATGACAATCTCCCTCTTGTTCATTCTGTTTCCTCCACTTGTTTAAATCTTCTCTCACAAGTCTTTAGCCTTGCTTTAGGAAAGCATAAATTAAAGTGAGCAATCTAATGCATTGTGAAAGAACACCTCCCTTCACTTGCTCACATTACCTAAGAAGGTGGTACTGTTCATAGGGCAAAGCAAACCTTTCATGCATCAACAAACCACGCACTTGCTTAACAGTAAGCAAGTTTAGACAGAGGCTGTAACTAAAATAGGCTGGTGTTACAAGTAATTTGTTATAGTCTGCAATGCAAAATAATCTTTATTTCTATACACAATCTTTGTACCAATGTACCTAAACCACACATTGTAAATATATTGCCCCAGCAATACTACACTACAATGCTTCAACCTTGTCTAGCTTACCTTGCATCCAGCTCTGGTACGCATGTTGCCAAAACAGGCAGTTTTAGATGAGTATAATTGCAACCCTTTAGGTTCAGATTGTGCGTTGTTCGATTCGTTGCTCCATCTATCTGACACTCTAATACTAACAGTTTTTCATGGAATCCCAGACTGGTTTGGGCTGGAAGGGACATTAAAGCTCATCCAGTTCCAAATCCCTGCCATGGGCAGGGACACCTTCCACTAGAGCAGGTTGCTCCAAGCCCCTGTGTCCAGCCTGGCCTTGAGCACTGCCAGGGATGGGGCAGCCACAGCTTCTCTGGGCAACCTGTGCCAGGCACTCAGCACCCTCACAGGGAAGAATTTCCTAAAATCTCATCTCAATCTCCCCTCTGTCAGGTTAAAGCCATTCCCCTTGTCCTGTCCCTACAGGCCCTTGTCAAAAGCCCCTCTCCAGGTTTCTTGTAGCCCCTTTAGGCACTGGAGCTGCTCTAAGGTCTCCCCTTAAGGAGCCTTCTCTTCCCCAGGCTGAACCAGCCCAGCTCTCTCAGCCTGGCTCCAGAGCAGAGCTGCTCCAGCCCTCACAGCATCTCCGTGGCCTCCTATGGAGTCTCTCCAACAGCTCCACGTCCCTCTTGTGCTGTTGCCCCAGAGCTGGATCAGGACTGCAGGGGGGGTCTCCTCAGAGCACAGCAGAGGGGGAGAATCCCCTCCCTCGTCCTGCTGCTCATACTCTGGGGGTGCAGCCCAGCACACGGGGGGGTTCTGGGCTCAACCGCACACTGAAGCCAGGTCATGGGGAGCTTCTTGTCACCCAACATCCCCAAATCCTTCTCCTCAGCGCTACTCCATCCAGTCTGCCCCAGCTTGTGTTTGTGCTTGGGACTGCCCTGACCCAGGGGCAGGACCCTGCACTTGGCCTTGTTGAACTTCCTTCTTGTCCTCTGTGCCTCTTTTTTCATGCTGCATTTTCTTCAGGAGCTCCCTATTCCTCCACACAGTCTTCCTGGTGTTCTTTCCTGACTTCCTCTTTGTCAGGATACATTGCTCCTGAGCTTGGAGGAGGTGATTCTTGAATATTGACCCACTTTCTTGGGCTCCTCTTCCGTTTCATATGACAGTCTTCAAAATCGTTCTAATTTTTCTTGGTATCTTGTTAGCCAAAAGAATGCTGTCAATACTAACTTGTCTTTTTTCATTCCCTGCACATTTTAGTGTATGCCCAAGATACATGTTTTCTGGCTTTTATGAAGCCATAAAGGCAAGAGTTTTTCTGAAACAACAGACAACATTTGTCATTCTCTAGGGACTGTATCCTGTATTAACATAGGATCATTGCAGTTTCAAATGCTCCACACAACAGACTACATACAGATTGAACTATAGGTGAACAGAGTAAAATACCTAAAAAAGCTGATGCAAGATGGGAATCAATACCTTGCTGAGAGTAGATCTGGCTAATGCAGCTTGCAGAGATGTCCATCTATCATCATGAACTTACTTGTATTTCCTGTTCTTCGCACCTTCTGTGCTGCTGCTATTTTCTCTCTCCTCCTTCTTGGCTGCCCTGGTTCTAGATCTTTTCCACTCAAATTCTCTTGGAAGGTTATGTCACAGTTTTGTAATACTGTAATTTCTATTTGCATAGATTACATTTCTACATATATGTATATATGCATAACACATATACATACACACATAACACATTTGCCTCAGACCATAACATTAATAACAATGTGGAGTAGGAAGGTATTAGTGTTCATTTTATGATTCTTACTATGCAGAACACGTAAAACAGTTTCTGCGTAATGGTGCCTCTAATTCATAATTCCTATACAATGTTATTGTTTTGTTTTCAAGTCTTCTTTTATTTCAAATATGACCTGAGTTCAGTTATTGCTTTGTGCAAAAAGAAAACAAAAAGATCAAAGAAAATAATTCTCTTCATATTAATTCTTCCTTGAGGCAAAGATTATAAAGAAGCGTTCTTCAACTGTCATTAAAAAAAATTATAAGTATACAGTGCTTCCGCTCTGTTGGCATTTCTAGCCTAAGCATTAGAAAAATGAACCAAGATAAAGTGTAACAGCAAAATATCCTCCCTCAAACACAGAATTTCAGTCCAATAGGTATTTATTTATTTATTTTTTCCTTACCTTCAGCCATTTATCAACACACTTGGCATGGAATTCATGGTTACAGGGTAAGACTCGAAGTAGCTGCCTTGACTCAAAATCACACATGCACACCACACACCTAAAAAAGACAATGAAGTTCAAATGTACCTTGTGAGAACAACAAATACATGTTCCACAAAACCTTACAGGTATTGCAACATGGGTAGCTAGTTACCTACACCTGTGGTTAAGGTTGTGTAGTGACAATGTAAACTGAGAATTGCTGTATTCTATTTCCCTTCCTTCCCCTGTGCTTTTGAATCACAAATCAAACACTCCTGCTCATAAGAGCTCAAAACAACCAACAGAATAGACATGTAATCAAAATTCAAATGGCAGAGATAATGATCTATAAAAGTTTACTCCCTACTCATACTAGTAAGTCACACTGAGAGTCACTGAAACTGGAAATTCAAACTGTTCAGTTCTGGGCCCCTCACTACAGGAGAGACATTGAGGTGCTGGAGTGGGCCCAGAGAAGGGCAATGGAGCTGGTGAAGGGCCTGGAGCACAAGTGTGATGAGGAACGGCTGAGGGACCTGCAGGGGTTTAGTCTGGAGAAGAGAAGGCTCAGGGGGGAACTTATCGGTCTCTACAACTACCTGAAAGGAGGATGGAGCCAGGAGGTGGCTGGTCTCTGCTCCCAAGGAACAAGTGATAGGACAAGAGGAAATGGCCTCAAGCTGTGCCAGGGGAGGTTCAGACTGGATATTAGGAACAATTTCTTCCCCAGAAGGGTGGTCAGGCACTGGAACAGGCTGCCCAGGGCGGTGGTGGAGTTACCGTCCCTGGAAGAGTTCACAGACTGTGTAGACAAGGCCCTCAGTGACATGGTTTATTGGTGGCATTGGCAGTGCTGGGGAAAAGTTGGACTTGATGATCTTAAAGGTCTTTTCCAACCCAAACAATTCTATGATTCTATTTTAACATAGGCTAATTCCTAGGTGACAGTATCACTTTAATGTCTAGTATGCTGAACAGAAACTAAACCGCTTGTATCTTATTTTAAATCCCAAGGAACTAAACTGAAACACAACTAAATGATGTGAGACTATATAGAGGTTTTAAAGCAAGGATAAATAGTATTTGATCTGGAAAGCAATCCAAGAAAAAAAAACCAAAACCAACCCTGCTTACTAACACAGAATCATAGAATCACAGACTGGTTTGGGCTGGAAAGGATCTTAAGATCATCCAATTACAACCCCCTGACACAGGCAGGGACACCTTCCACTAGAGCAGGTTGCTCCAAGCCCTGTCCAGCCTGGCCTTGAATACTGCCAGGGACGAGGCAGCCACAGTTTCTATGGGGAACCTGTGCCAGGACCTCAGCAACACCACAGGGAAGAACTTCTTCCTTATATGTAACCTGAACTTCCCCTGTTTAAGTTTGAACCCACCACCCCTTGTCCTGTCACTACAGTCCCTAATGAAGAGGCCCTCTCCAGCATCCCTGTAGGCCCCTTTCTGATACTGGAATGCTGCTTTTAAAGCCCTTCTGTGTTAGCTGAGGCTGCAAATTAAAGAAAACATAGCCACCTGAATTATGGACCTTTGAAAGAGACAAATGTACTTACAATGTCTGTTCTGACTGGTGGTTGTTTGGATTGAATCTGTAGGATGGAAGCTGTTCAATATCTGCCTTTGTCAATCCCCGTGGTTTGGCTTCTCCCAGACGTTCTGCCAAATTCAGCAGTGCCTGCAAAACACAGAAAGTGAATATTTAAACATCTGCTGCTCAGACAGGCTCTAGTTCCACTCCAGCCGGGGCTGCCTCATGATCTCAGCTGGTAGCAAAGAACAGACTTCTATCAAGAAGTGTTTAGAACCTTACTTCTCCCCTACAACACAAGCCCATGGAAAGTCTTTCAGCCATCCAAACTACGTAAGATGTTCTCTTTGGGATTTCAAAACCTCCAGAACCCGAAATCCAATTAACCCTGTGGCTGCAAGCACAGGTTGGGAAAGGCTCTGGTTCTGAAGGACCACTCACCCTGCTATGAAATTAATAGTGCTGATAACGGGAAAAAATGAGCACATTTTCTTCCTAAGAATATGTGAGTCTTGTCTTGTGAGAGAAACCAAGAATTTAAGGGGACAGGTTCTGATTCCTACTTTGTGTCTTGGGCTACTGAAATGAAATAGGGAGATTTTATCCTGAATCTGGAAAACAAATACATACCATCAAACTTTAAGTAATTTTTTTTTACTTAACTTTATGTTCATTGTCTACAAGCCAATCATTGCTACCAAAAGCCTCTCATGTAAATAATTTGTACTCTGTCATGTATGTAACTTCACAAGGGACCTAGGAAAAATATCATTATAAATGTGATGGAGAACAACGCATAGAAAAGTTAAAAGATCTGGTGAAAACTGCAGATGGTAGTGATCACAAAGAAATTTCTAATACTGACAAACCTAAGGTCCCAATCCTTAGAAATAAGATGCTTCTAAGCATCTTATAATAAGATGCTTCTAATAATAAGATTAATAATTAATAATAAGATGCTTCTACAATAAAATTCTTCTAAGCTAGCACAGAAGTTATTACAGAAGTGCTCATCGTTAAACTGAAAACGTGCTACTACACAGAGCTCTTAAGGGGAGCAAAGAGATGCAAAAATAAGGGTTGGTGACAACTGTTTGAAGAGAGATCGAATGGAACCCAGTAGCCTCAGAACCAGCAAAGACACAACAGCTGCAACTGCCCCATAATTGTACAGGATATTAAAGAGAGTTCTACAGCTATAGATGTGAATTAGTGTACCCTTTTGAAGGACAAGAAGAAAAGGCATTAAGGCAGTTTTGTAAACATTGCATTTAGATTAATTAATCCATGACATCAACACCATTCTGTATTAATACTATTCTGCAAAGTTACACACTTAAAACTTACCCTGTTCTTTTGAAAGTGCTTCACTTCTATTTGATATTTAAAATCAGCTAAGACTTAAAAGGAGAAGAGTAGCATGTAGTACAAAAAAGCTGAACAATTTGAGGATTGCTAGCCTGGAAGGGTAAATTCTGGGAAAGAGCATTAGGCAAAAAATATAGCTAAGCACTTCTAATACCCAGTATTGCAAAAAAACCCTGAAAAGATTTTTTTTGATTCTGTCTTCACAGTCACTGTACTTATTTGAAAGACAAAAGCAGGATTAAAAGCAAAATATAATACAATTTTATGTATTGCTTGAGTTGACATTGTTTCATTAAAGGTAGTTGTAGTTCACACACCAACCTCATAGTTTTCTACCTCCCCATCTTCCACATCCAACTCAAAGCTGAAAGCTGGTCCAACTGCAGGTGGCACTGGAAGCATTGATCTACCATGAGAGCAAACAATGAAAAGATTCAGCATGTTGCTGAAGGAAAGCACAGAAACAGCTGGCAGAGTTAAAGTTACCTTACTGATCCCTCTCAAATCAGCAAGTTCTTAGAACTGATAAAAATGTTAAGTTTGAAGTCAAGAATAGACAAGTGAGAGTCAAAGGAAAAAGCTAATTCTGCCACTTTTTGAAACTGGGAGTGCTGTCTCTTTAATTGCATACACATTTCAGACGATACTTCCAACCAGGCTCAGAGTTACTAAAAAACATTAGTCTCTTGATTATAACACATTATGGAGAGCTAAAACTGACAATTAATTGACATTCTGGCTTTAAATACGTTTTATTTCTTTAAGTGGGTAAGATACCAACAAAGAAATGGAACTCTAAGTTGACTTAGCTATCCAATACAAAAGCCCTGAAACTTCTGTAAGCCTGAAAATGCACAATGAAGATAAACATTATATACTACTGGACCAACTTCCATACTGAAGGCAAGCACAAATTCACCTTCTCGCATAAGTCTGGTTAAATCAGAATTTCTTCAGAGAGAGAGGCTAGAGAGATGTTTTCCTGTGTTATTTTATTTTAATCTTACTTTCATTCAACAAGTGTTACTATCCTGTAACACTCAGGATAGTATTGTGGGTCAAAATTTAATGCACAAACACATAAATCACAAATTCACAGCACTAAAATACACTCAAGTCCCACTGAACTCACCAGGAATTACTGCCACAACATTTCATACTTATTTCCAAAACAGAACAGAGCAGTAAATATGTTATATGCCCAAATCCCTCACCACCACCACCCCTGAGAGCCTACCGCAACACACTACGATTAATTCCTAGATGTTAATTGTCCTGCAATTTTTCCAGGAACGGCTAATCAAAGGCAGAGCAGAAATTCAACAGCTCTAGAAGATCAGCAGTTTAGCCAATTAAAAGCAACACATCACAAAAACCTCTCAGCCTTGTATTTCATAATTAAGAACGAAATCAAAAAAGATTTATTTCATAAGTGAAGGTTCCTAGGACTTTATCCCACAGTGTAAAACCATGCCTCTAATAAGGGTATCAAAGAATGAAGTTTAGAAATGTGCTGAAGATTCTACAGAGAGTTCAGAAACAAAGAGGCTCCTGTGCCTCAAAAAAGGGTGTATGTTATTTGAAACAGGCTGAAGAACTATACAGAAATGGAAGGTTTCCTCCTCTCTGGGACAGCTGAACTTTGACTGCTTCTGGTAGAGTCCAACCATATAATGTGCCAAGACTTGCTGAAAGTCAAGTGACTTCTTGATAGTCTACATGGAAGCAAATATATTTTGAACTTACAGCACGTAAGGTAATAGGCTGGGATGGTAAGGGTGGTGTGGTAGTGGCTGCTGTGATCGGTATCTGCTGCGCCCTGCGAGTCTTCGAGGCATGAACGGTGGGTAAGGCTGTAAGGAAGAAGACAATAAGCTTCAACTGGAACTTGTGTCCAGTTCTGGGCTCCCCAGCACACAACAGACATGGACGTACTAGGGAGAGTAAAACAAAGGGTGACTAAGATGTGACTGGAGTATCTCATGTATGAGAGCTGGGACTGTTCAGGCTGAGAAGACAAGGTTCAGGGGGACCTCATCAATGTGTATAAATACCTGAAGGGAGGGTGCAAAGAAGATGGAGCCAGGCTCTTTTCAGTGGTGCCCAGTGACAAGACCAGAGGCAATGGGCACAAACTGAAACACACGAGGCTCAGTCTGAACATCAGGAAATACTTGTTGCCCACAGAGGTGGTGGAGTCTCCTTCCTTGGAGACAGTCAAAAGATGCCTGGACACAGTCTTGGGCAATCAGCTTTACGTGACCCTCCTTGAGCAGGGAGGTTGGACCAGACGACCTCCAGAGGTCCCTTCCAACCTCATTCAGCTTTTGAGACTGTGATTCAACATTTTGTTTTCTTAATCAGGAAATGAAATGAAACCTGAATATTGAAACCCACTTTCAATAAAGCATTATTAAAAAGACCCAGCCTCTGCTCAAATACAAAAGAACCTCAGCCTCAGTTTGAAACAATGCCCATCAGTAACACACAATCATGCCATTCCATATGAAAAAGAGATAATTCACAAATCCTTGCAAGCTCTTGTGTGATAGTCCACATGCAGGCTCATTTGGGAAACAGGGCTTGAACTGCTGACTCCTTTGTAAACATAAAAGCCCAGGTTTTAGATCTGGTGCTGTTCCACAGACTTGTGCATGAGTGGGCGAGTAAACAAGCTTTTAAAAAAGATTTTCAAAAAAACTCTTAAAAATATCGAAACAAACCCATTAACTGTTATGCAGTGGTGTATATTTACATTTTTGTTAAAGAATCAGACTCTAAAAGTCTTTACTAACATGCTCTTCTTCTTCCACATTTTAAAGTTGGGCAAAAGCCCAACACCACCAATGAATAGCCTAAACCCCCGCTTAACATTATAATGGAAATACTACCAATAGGTAGCCCATGTCACACATAAAATTTACATATGAATATAAACGCACTGCAAAAAAGCACGGGTTATCTTCTTGAAAGCAAGATCTCAAACTAGACATAGCAAGTATCAATTTTCCCACTTTTATGGATTCTGCAGTCCAAAAATAGAAACTTTTGTGTTCACTGAGTGAAAAGGAATCAGAAATGCAGCCATCCTACCATAATTTAAAAAAACCCCAACAATTTCATAGAGATTCAGGATTGCTTTATAAAGGACTGTATGATTACTTGTAATACACCTCTATTCTACTCCCTAGTGATATATAAACCACAGCTGAAGCATCAAGGAGGACAAACGCTAAATAATCTGCAAAAAATGGTATTGTGTTCTTCATCTACTTTAAAGACTGAACTTGAAAATCAAGAAAGGCTCACATCAACCAAAATGTTTGTGATTAGACTGTAATTCATCTAGAAAAAATGCTGAATAAAATACAAGCAGTTTATGAAAGTTCTTAAGTGCTTTCATCTCCAGAGTGGCTCACAATGACTGAAAACTTCACTGAAAATCTGTACACCTTTAGTTAAACAGTGAGCTAAGTATTTAACGGTGGAGACTTGTTTGAACCTTTACAAGGACTGCAGCAAGCATTTAAACAGGTTGAATGATTTCAAAAACACTTAAATAAAGAGAAGGTATCTGTATATCCTGTAGCTGCAGGGCCTAAAAATTCATTCTCACTTAAAATTTTAAATCACAATATGCTGTAAAACCTGCTGTCAACTTCATGCACAGTCAACTTAATGCAGTCTACATTACGGAAGCACTTTGTACCATACACTCTGAGTAAGAACTATTTCTAAAGCATTCTAGCTTCCCTGACTTGTGGAAACTCAACATACAACGAAGAATTAGCTAGAAGTGACAGTAGCTTTTCTAAACTGTACTAATGAGTTTCTGCAATAGAAGTCCTGGTCTGTGTGGCAACATGGAATGTTTTCTAAGTAACTGCTGTGGCACTCTGCAGATAATATTATCAGTAATCATGTGCTGGTGTCATTAAGTTACCCTTGACTTGATTAAACCAGTTTAAAGTAAATGCCATGCTCTGCAGCTACAGCCAATAATAGAATACACTGCAAGAAGTGCCACTTTTGAACAAAATGTACCATAGAGTAAAGATCAAGCATGTCAATGCAACACTGATGATAATATAACAGAGAAAACAATACTTACAACACCAAATGACACCTCCTGGTGTAAGGGATCATGGGTTAGGAATTGGAGAGGTGCTGAAGGAGGCAATGTTGGTGGATGGGCTGAAGGAGGGTATGTAAAACCTCCTACAGGAAGATGTTCTCCAAGCAGTTCTACTTCATTTTCTATCCTTTGAAGTGGCTAAAAGGAAAAAAAAACAGAGAGGCTTTCTTGCAATAAGAGAGATGAATTTTTCTCCAGTAAAAACCCTGCAATCCTAGATGTATATTCTGAGCTGCTGTGGTCAATATTATACGGCAATAAATAAATAAAATGTACAGGTATAATTGTACTCAGTTTCACATAGTAACTTTGTGAACAATTCCTGTGTCATTAACAGTACCAAAAAGCAAAGACAACACTACACATTTGATATAAATTCACCTTTTCAAGCTAGCCATGCTTATAGATCAGGAATTTATGCAAGCTAGCAAATATAGGAGTGGCTGTAATTTCCTGTGTCTTGCATTTTTCAGGACAAATATTTGCTCTCCTTCATGCCAGGCTGCTCTCACTGTACAACTATGTGAGAGAAGAAAATAAACAACCATAGACAAGAACTGAAAACATGCCACCAAATCTGAAAAGTGGAGAGGAAACATGGCAGGTCCAGTGGATAAAACTGCTAATGATATTGAGCAACCAAGCAAAGGCTTTCCTAGGAGGGTCATGCAAGCAGTCCTATCAAGAACATGCAGTCCAGAGGTTTCAGCAGTGTGAGATTCCAGCTCAGTATTGTAATCTAGTTGACTATAGTACATCAGTCAGGCTCAAAAGCGCTCAAGAAATAACCAGGAATTGTCAATGTTTCATTAATACACCTTTCTGTTCCTGACACTGAATTCCACCATTTCAAGAAATTCAGCTAAGAAAGCCAAACCAAAGGAATATTCTGTTTCCTTGTTATGCAAAGCAAGCTTTAAACACAAGGTACTCTTAGACCATTAAGACACAAATTTTTTGCCAGAGCTGAAAGTTGACAGGCAAGCCTAGTCAGTAACCTAAGTAAGCAACCCAAGCTAAAGCCTGAGCTAAACCCCATGCTTTTTCTAAAGGAAAATCTTATAAAGATTACCACTGAAAACCACTTTTCCAGCTCTCCTCCCATCATCACAACACAGTGATTACCACCCTAACCACACCTGAGACATGGCGTGGAGAAGTCTTAGCAGTGTTCGTAAATGACAAAGAAGCTGTTTTCTATTTCTGTCTCAGTGAAATACTGGCATCTTCTAGTCAGGAGGATCAAACAAATGGACATGAGTATACAAATGACCTCACAGCAAGAGCTGTAGGCCAGAACTGAAAGTCTAATCACCCCCAAATCCAAAACAGAGTCACATTTTTCCATGTCTGTATATAGTCTTTATCACTAAGCCAGTCTGCTTAAGCAAAGGTGTGAGTAATTCTCATAAGTGGAAAAAGAGGGGGGGGAAAAAAAAAAAAAAAGAAAGGGATACTGGAGGATTTTTAATGTCTGGACAACCTACGGTCATTATGTTCTAGGAAAAGCACTGATCATTTAAAAATTGACTGAGAATACAGAAAAAGCATGTAATGAAAGCAACATTCTGTGCTTTCTTCTCTCTCTCTGCTAAGCTTTTCTCTGAGACCACTACTGCACTACACGACCTCCTCTGGGCTCTCTTCTGCTTCCTGGGAAAGAAATACGTAGAGGAATAGTTGGTGAAGCAAATATACATCCTTTTAGTAGAAGTAAAGGCCTATGGCGAAAACAGCTGATGAAATTTGGAGAAACACCATAAACTTTAAAACTGTTTTTCCACCTTCACACCAAGTGGTTACAGACTTCCTAAGGATGCATAAGTACAAAACCCCACTACTTTAAACAAAATCCTTCTGTTTCCTCAACCAGGTATTGGCACTATTTGCCCAACCAGTCCTACCAGTTGTACACAGAGGTGGGTAAGAATCTTTACTTACCGACCGTGACTGCTGTGCTTGGAAAGGAACAAACTGTCCTGGAGGAGGCAAGTGAGGAGGGTGGTGCGGAGAGATGTGAGGAGGATGCAAAAGGAATGGGTCGCTAGAAATGAGGGGTGGAAATGCTGCATATGGTACAGGTAGGTGCTGGACTGAGCACGCCTGAAGCATCTGAAATAAAATGAAAACAAAATATTTTTGTCTCTAGCACAAACATCCCCTATAGAACATTCTCTATTCTGGAAAGACATCATTAAAACAAAGCAGTTCTCTTGCCTCCTTTGTAAAGCCTCCGTAGCACACTTAAGTAGTAACTCATTCAAATACCCAGTGGCTAGTGCAGAACAGACCAGAGCGTGACATCTGCTAGGTGCAAAGTAGCTATCCCTTCTCACCAGCTAGAGTGGGAGTTAAGGTTTTCAATACTCCAAGATTAGAGAGACTTGTAAGTGATGAGCAGATACATTTGTCCTAGCTAATTTTATTTTCCCCACGTATTACCTTCAAGATGACATGCCAAAGCAATGGCCTTGCAACCATGCTAAGCTTTTTATGGAGCCGAGACTCTGAGCTGCCAAGACTGTGCTTTAAAAGCTCTGTTGCCTCATACCCTAAGAATAATTCTTAAGATCTGCTTTGAGGTGTGCACTTTAAGATGAGCTCCATAATCTGAAGGCAGCTCCCTGAGTGACGGCCACTGTGGGAAACAGCCCTTTTCCTCTCCTCTTTGACATTCCTCACACAAAAGCAACACTGGGCACTGAAGTCTGTACACTAAAGTGATGAAGGCACTGCAGGGGAGCAGAAATGTGCTTTGTGGAAGTGTTTGGTTTTACTTCCAACTCTAGATATGGAGAAGCAAGAAAACCAGCATTCTCTTTTTCTTGCTTTTTGATCCATCGTCAGCATGTCAGGCATTTATGTTACGTTTCTGACAATTAAAAAAGCAATTAATAAGATACCTGCTATCAAATCTTACGAAGAAAGAGGATCCAGCTCTGATCTGTGATTTTTTGTTTTTAGTCATGAAACACAAAATATACTGTGCACACTGACTATAATGGCATAAAATAGTTGAAACACAGTTTTTAAAATCAGATTAAAGTAGCAGAGGTGGAACTATCACCTCAATTTACCATGACTGTGATCAAACATAAATCCATACATGCACTGGAACAGCTGCAGATTAATTTGATCTGACTACTGTTGTTTCTTAGATGCTGACTGTTCTTTCACCCTTAGCTTCTAAGTAATTTTTCTTAAAAAGAAATACAACAGGCAAGTGTTTCTGTTATTAAAATACATTTTTTATTGTATTTACTAAACCGAAAACTTTTCTCTGAAACAGCTGAGGATAAATTTGCAGGTAGAACTCCTCATAGTGTTCTTTAAAACAGGAGGCACCTTGAGGAACATATTAAAATATGTTGCATCCCAACATTCTGTATGGTGAAGAGCACCACGATAGCTCAAACACATGTTTGGAATGACCTGTGCTATGCCCATGACACTTTTTAAGCTAGAGCAAATGAGACTGCATTATCTTCAAAGTGTAGAAAGATGAAAACTCCTTGTTTATTCATTCAGGCTTTTGTAAAACTTGTGCTGTTTGAACATAGGCTTCCAAGAAGTGTCAAAACTGATGAAGGTGTACCATGAATGACATTTGTTTATTTTATAGTTATATATGCAGTGAGAGAGACAAATATTGCTGAAGTAACAAACAGATACTGGGAAGTTCACAGATGAAGCTGGTGAGCAAGTTGACATGCTGGAGGACAGGACTGCCTTCCAGATGGACTTCTATAGGCTGGAGAAACTGGTTGACAGCAACCATGTGAAGTTAAAGGCAAATGAGAAGTCTGGCGCTGGAAAAGAATAACTCCATGGAGCAGGACATTTTGAGACTGGTTGGTGAGCAGATTTGCAGGAATAAAGGTTGAGTTCTGGTGGACATGTCAGTATGAGAACACAAGAGCCACAGTGTACTCCTGCAGGCCTGCTGCATGCTGGAAGGCATTACCAGCAGTGTAACTGGTGGGTCCAGTGAAGTGATTCCATCCCTCCACTGAGACCTTGTGAAACTGTATCTTAAGTCTTGAGTTCAGTTTTGGCCTCCCCAGTGCCAAAGAAAGACACTGATGTACTGAAATAAACCCACTGAAATAGCAGCATGATGACCACGAACTTGGAGCACACTGCATAAAAGAAAAGGCTGCAGAACTCATTTGTTCTGCCTTAGAAAAATAAGCAAAGACCTTACGATTGCCTTTAGCTACTTCATGAGAGCAGATAGGCATAACCTGACTCTTCCTCAGAGGGGGTAACAAGGACCAGTGCAACCAAGCTGCAGCAAAGAAAATTCAACCAGATACACAAAAGAAAATCTTCAACACTGGAGCTGAGGCTTTAGAGAGGTTGTGAATTCTCCACCCTTGGAAACTGGTTCTGCTCTCAACAAGTGGCCTTCAGAGCCCTTCCTAACTTACATTATTCATCAATTCTGTGACATAATAGACGAAAGCATAGAGTCTGCCTGCTGATCTTACATACACTCAACCTTAATTCTTTATATTAATAATATTATATATTTATATATTATATCCATGCTCTCAATACACTTGATTAACTGTTGTACATTCAGTCCAAACAACCTGGTTAGAGCTTTACTCCTGTGTATATATTTAAAGTAGAGCTGCATTGTTGAATTATAAAACATTTTATGAATTACACAGGTAATATAGCTGTTCAAAGCAGGGGGTAAGATATCTGTTGTTTGGATTTCTCTAAGCCCCAGAATAATTATAGCTTTTTCTCTGCTGTTGTTTTTCAAGACATGTGGCTTTCTTGCCTTTCTGAATTTACTATGCAAGTACCGTTCTCATCTCTGTGTACCCAATCTGAGATTGCTTTGCTCCACTAACACCACCACTGAAGAGAAGAAAACTGTTGTCTCTCATTCTGCCTCAGCGGCTGAGCCAGGTAAAAGATGTTCTCCAATTTGAAAAGTAAGGGAAAATATTACCCACAAATACTCCAGACTGGCCAGCAGTATGCTGCAGACATTATTGTCTGTCATGGGGATAAATGCCACTCAAGATGAATGCACATTACACTCACTCTTCAATGAGCAGCTTATGGAAATAGGTGGTCCCATCAATGGTTTTGTGTCAGTATCACAGGCTTGTTCATGCCCTCAAGTCACAAAACACACAACAGGAAAAGTTCAGTTACACACTGCTGGCAAATGCACAGCTGGCAGAGATAAGTGTTTATATCAACACTGTAAACAGTGACTGGACACTATATATAGTATTTCTGTATGATGTTACAGATTTATGTTAGAAAAAGGAGGAGGAGAGGGGAAGTAAGCCTTCCAGTAGGTTCTGCAACCTTCATTTGTACTGCTGAAACTTCTCAAGGTACACTCTTCAGCTCTGTGCCTGTTAACACTTAATGGTGACATTTCCGCAGAATGGTAGCATCAGAATGCTATGATGTGGAAATTGGTTATCTCTGAGCTGACACATAAAAAATCCTGAGAAAACACTTCAAATTATCTCAAATTTAAAGCTGGCAAGTTAGCCAGTTAAGGCACTTCATTTTGTTCCCAGAGAGGCACAGAGAGACATCATGATTAAAGAACATTTTAATTTTAATTCATTTTATGGGAGCATTTTGAGCAACATAAAAGCCTTTCTCAGCTTTTAAGTCAGATCTTTCAGGATCTTACTACTTCTCAGAATAAAACTGACTTTCGAAAATCAGACCTTTTGGTACATAACTAATTCCTGAACAATGTCTCTAAGGTAAGATTTTTTTCTAGGTAAGCTGCCTAATATAAGCCTTAGAATCCTTCCTCTTCATATCTGAAAGTATGCAGAATAGCTGCCGCTAAGAAGTAATTCCATAAACTAGCATTCAGTTTGAGTTAAAAACCTCAAGACTCTATCCTATAAGCAGTCGTACTGTATAAAGACAGTGGGTAAGTACCATATGCTTACCAGCTCTAAGGCCACTGCAATTTACCACAGGGGGACAAAATGGCTATTTTCAACACAATTTAAGCCACACAAAGGTCTAGGATTAAAGGTAATTACACAGACCCACTTACTGGGGGAGGCACACTGCAAACTGGAAGGTGCTGCCCACTGAAAACCACTGAGCAGCCTGGCACCTGCTGTGCACTGCAGGCTGGGATGTGCTGGCCGGTGCAAAGCGGTATCCCATGCGGAGCCACCGTGGTCACTGTATACGAGACAGGAACTGTGCCCTGATGGATCTGCAGCAACAGGAGAGACAGTGTTTAATCACTTACTGTAAAATCTTAACAGTGATGTACAGCATGATGAGTAAGCTTTTACCTACGTATCAGAACAATAAATACTCACATCTAAGGTGTAAAAGGAGGCATATGCTTATAATTCCTGTTCATGAAAATATTCTTTTCAATGGAACAATTCCTACTGATCAGCAGTTGCTGGGCAAGGCCAAGCAGGATATCTCAGCTTAAAATGCTAAAACTGCAAAAGCATCTTAGAGTCACTCAGAGGCATCTTGAACTCTATTAAGCCTGCCCGCACTAGTACAGTTAGTTCTTAAAAAATAAGGTAGCAGTAACTCCCCCATACAAGCTAATCTAAAAGTAGTTGAAGAATTTTCTCAACTCTGAAGGCACTGATTCAACAATAATTCAGAAAATTGTATCCTTAAAGACCAAGAAAATTGTGTAGATTTTCTTTCTTCTAAAGACCCCAAGCTCTTCACTCACTCTCAGACTGAGCCGAGTCTCCTAGCCTAAATGTAAGAGATCAGGTAACCAGAAAGCTGAAAACATAAAGTAAACATGACTATGAGGCAGCAGACCCCAAGTAGCCATATTTATGTAAGGAAACAGACCCATGTAACCTCATTTTCTAGCTAGTTACATTACCTAGAATGAATCATCAAATTGAGATAAAAAGATATTCTGGACATGCAAATCACGTGTGATGAGTTTGTTTACTTGGATGATTTTGTTTTGTTTGGGTTTTTTGTTTGAACATTAAACATATTTATGATGCTCTAATAAAGCTGAAGAGGCTGAAGTGTCACAGAGCATGGATTAATAAAAAAGTAATTATTTCAAGGAAATTTCCCTTCCTTCATGATCTGCTAAAATGAAACCAGCTTGCTTGAAGCTGAACAAGAACAGCCCATTAGGAAGTCAGAATGACTTAATATCCAGTCTAAACCTCCCCTGGCACAGCTTGAGGCCATTTCCTCTTGTCCTGTCACTTGTTACCTACCTGGTAGCAGAGACCAGCCACCTCCTGGCTCCATCCTCTTGTCAGGTAGTTGCAGAGAGCCATAACGTTCCCCTGAGCTTTCTCTTCTCCAGACTAAACACCCCAGTTCCCTCAGCCATTCCTCATCACACTTGAGCTCCAGGCCCTTCACCAGCTCCATTGCCCTTCTCTGGACCTGCTCCAGCACCTCTTGTAGTAAGGGGCCCAAAACTTCTATTACAGGTTCTCCATTACAGAACTGTATGCCAACTGCTGTTGCAGACAGGAATTAATTACGTTCTAGACCAACCACATACCTCATTTTTCATGGCATTTAAGGAGAAGTTGGTTAGGCTTGGATGGCTAATTTAGTTATGCAACAATAATATCATGAGCTTTGCTATTGTGTAGGCAACCCACTACAGGCATCATAAATTTTACTTCTAAGTATTGTATTTTAGCTATTTAAACACTACTAAGCTAAGGAAAGGTATTCACATGAAATAGAATACATTCTTAATTATCCTATCACATCTTCATTGCATTAACTTAAATTCAGAACCTTCTGTTTGTACTCTGAAACTCTCACCTGATCGTGAAGGTCAACCATCACTGCATTCTGCTGTGGTGGGTGAGCCGCTGGGTGCAACAGGCGAGGAGATACATTCGGTGGGCGAAAGGCTCGAGGCTCTTCTATTGCTTGCTGCTGTCCATAGGAGAGATGGTGATAGTTTTCATCCTGGCTAATGGAATTATGTCTAGATAAACGATCTCTCCTTGTTCTCTGACGTCGAACAGGAGGACTGGAAATGCATTAAAAAAATTAGAGATTACATAAATGACACAAATCCTTCTTAATAACTAAAACCACAAGAGAATCAAGACTTTTTTTTGTTTTTTACACTGAAAGATTTTACTAAACAAGTTTATTAGATTGGAATAAAACTTCTTAATGACAAAATTACTAAAAGCCTTATAGATGACACTTTTTTTAGCATAAAAGTGCGCAATGGAGCATAATTGAATGCTGTAAATGAAACCAGCAGGAGAACTTTTATGTAAATATTAACCTGCTAAAAGAAAAAAAAAAAAAAAAAAAGGCACTTGAATTGCCAAAACACGTTCTCAAACGTCAACACAACAAAATCTCAAGACATTTCTGTGCGTTCATTCTAGGTGAAAAGCCTTCATTACACGATCACAGAATTCCAGAGGGTCCTTGCTCCACCTAGGGCACAGAATGGTTGCTCATTTAGTGATGGCAGACAAAGCAGCAGACTGAAGAAACAAATGCATTTTCCAGCTCTCACTGGTCACTACACAATTGAGTGCCTCATACAATTCTCTCCAGCAGATCCTGGGAAATTGTGACTGTGGTAATCTTTCTTTTTCAGAGTGGAGAACAGTCACATAGATGGATTTAGACCAGAGCATCCACCTCTCCTTAGCAACTGATCTACAGGCATAGGATTTAATTACATATTCTATTATAATGTATATAATTGTGTGTCTCTTCTGAGCAGAGCTACTGCTATCTTGACCTGAGACTCCTGTCAATCAGAGACTAGCAGCTCAGGTTCAACACTCCGAATAATGATGCAAACAAAAGTATCAAACTCACTATGAGAAGGTCTGATTCAAGTCACTTCTCAGTTATTTGGAAAGGGGAAGAACTGAAAGCACAAAAACCATCCCCTATTACTTTCAATACATGCCTTCCCATTTCCACAACACATAAAATACAGGTCCCAGAGGCTACACGGGACAAATGGTTTTCCACTTGTGTAACAGGCTGAAGGAACCAAATTGCACAGAAGAAAAAAAAGAGGGAGGAAGAAGAAACAAGGAAGGAGGAGAGGTCTTTGGAGATGTGATCTTGTCTGCTCCAACAGTACGTGGAAGAGAAATTAACAGTTTTCACTCTCACTATTCCCACTGCTATTAAAAAAAACAAAACAGAACAAAACAAACCCCTGAAACCTGTTGACAAATTCCAGACATTCCTCAAGTCAAGTCCAACCTTCATGCTGCGTGGAACAGATACACTCTGTGGAAGGGGAAGCATGTTCAGATGCTACTCTGACTATACGGTAAGATGTCTCAAGCCACTGTTCTTCTGCCCTATTTCACAGCGATGTTATGCCATTATCGCCTTTCTGAGAACTGACACAAATGCTCATTCACAGAAGGTCAGACAGAAGGCATAACACCAGATTCACACAGACCATTCTTCAACAAACAACAAATGCATAGCCTATTTATCTTTACGAATTACCATGAACATACAAGCTGTGCTTTCTTCTAAGCACCAAGCAGCTAAATTTCATCTCACTAATGTATTCGTTTTAATCCCAGTCTCCTTTCCCACACTTTTTGTTATGCTCTCCATCTCCGTACTACTAATATGATACACCTGCTACATTCTCATTAGATGAAACTGGTATATAAGATTTCTAACCACACAGCTATTAGTGAAAAAAGATGTTCTACTTTTTTGAGTACTAAGGTTGCTTTAAAGTTGCTGTTTCCTGCTATGAAACAGAAATGCTCTGATTACTTGAACATAAAATGTCTATGCAAGGACTTTTGTTTGGAAAAACTGCAGGGATAGAGGGAAGTTACAAAAAATAGATCTAATGCTTTGTAAGGAGACAAACATAAGTTCTCAAACTGCCCCCAGCACTTAGACCACGTAGCTTCTCATAAAACTATTCCTACCGCTGTCTTTCCTACAAAGTCTGGCTTTACTTTTCTATGAACCCAGAATGATGAGTAAGCAGCCAGCAAAACCTGGGATTACTTCTGGAGTGAGAGAAGTGAGAAGGATGTTCTCAAAAAACGCAAGAGTATTTGTTTAGGGTTTTTTTTTTCCCTTCCCCTGTGCAGAATTACAAAGAAACTATACTTCAGCAAAATTCAGAGCATCCAGATACATAGCTCTACATGCTTCCTGAATTATTAGAAACTACTCCAGAAGAATTGTCAAGACATGGGTCTAAAATACTATTTAACGTCAGTAATGAACTTGTGTTTGAAGTCCTTACTACTCACAAAAAACTTAGCCTCTGATTTTACATGCACAGTACAAACATGGTAAATGCTTGGTTAAAACAAAGAGATGGAATGGAAAAGGTGGAAAAGCGCAGGCATTCCTACCCTGACGTAGGAAGAGCCATCCAAAGGTATCCAGAACTGCAAAGTCAGCGTTTGCAGATCTTAAGTGTTTCCTAACAAGGGTCATTTCTTTGCAGCAACAGAGTCTTACAATTCTGTTAGTTCAGAATTACATTCAATAGAAGGAGAAAAGGAAGCACAGATAAAAGGTGAGGCACAGCAATGGCACAGATCTCCCCATTTCACAATGACTAATAAAGGTAAGTTGGAAAGGCCTCTTTTGTTTCATACAGGCACGCTTTTACATTCGTACTTTATCTGTATCATGACTAGTTGGACAAAAATAACATTATTTCTGCAAATTCATACCAGAAGCCTACTTTTCTAAACACAGTATTTATTTCCTTACAATGAATCTGAAAAAAACCACAATGACTTTGGGCACTCTTGTGCTAGACACAGCACAAAACCCCTAATACAAAGAGATAATGTCCAAGTAGTAACCAAGACAATGAAAAAAATCCAGATGATAAAAACCAGCACAGCCAACAGGAGTGAACTGGTAGGACAAGAGTTAATGCTGGTGACGGTGGGTCAGAGTGATGTCCACACCACATACACTGCAGACTTTTATTCTGCACTTGCTCTAGTCTGTTCCCTTGAGCTGAATGACCATTTACAACTGCAGTGCACCTTTCATTTCTCTTCATCTGAGAAACTCTAAGACCAGTCTGTGATGGAATGAGAGAAAACAAAGCAGGGAAAAGGGGAAACTGGCTTCAAAAGCACATGCATAACCTCATCTAAAGCATGAACAACAGATGCACTCACAATGATCTCAAGGAATCAAGCTCTGCTCCATGAGAATGGTTATTAGTTCTTATATGGCCCCAGAATATTCTAAAACTCAAAAAGACTCCTAGAAAACAAGAGACATGTATGTGTTGTTTTCCCTATCAAGCCTGTTTCAGGAGAGGAGACTGGCTGTGGTACTATCCTGGAACTGATCTAGAGCTAACTCAGATGCAACAGTGCAACCAAGCTAAAACATGCTCTGATAAAGCACAGAGGAACATTTATCTCCTACACATCTCATTCTTCTCTTCCATCCCACAGTACATCCAAACTGTCTAGATTCAGCTGTTTGACATTTAGCTTGTTACACACTCTATTTACTCTGCAGTAGACATTAATGAACACTGCAAAGAAATTTATGTAGGCTGGCTGGACATCAAAAAAGGCCAAACGCAGCATGTTCTAGGCATCTCAGTTCAAACCATTTTAAGGTAAAAACCACCGTGGATCAAATGCCCCTGCAGAGCATCCCTATACTAAATCGTACAGAAGGCCTGATCTTCTGTCTTTACAATAACCCTGCAAGTTCACAATTTAACCTTTTTTTGATGTCTGACAAGCTGCTTCAAGATCTGTGTATTTCGAATGCCACTCACTGAAAGCTTTCAGACTCATGGACTTAAAGCAAAGATAAAAAAACAGAAAGTTTTAAGGTCTCTTGCCTTGAAAGTATCCCTGACTGATCATGGTTGACAAATTTGATTTGGATAATCAGAAGAAAACCAGTTATGTATTTCTTAGGTCTAATATTTCATATTCATGAAGAAGCACAGACACTTCAATTTTATATAAACCAAGCCACAATATTTCTCAGAAGCAAAACAGAGGGATGGTGTGTTTTAACCTTGATTAGATGACTCAGCATTTTTGAGGCAGAATGTGACACAATGAAAGCTTGTGTTTTGGATTACTAGTTTAACTATAATAGTAAAGAAGTCTGTTGTTTTAAACTTTGCTATACTATCAGCCATCCAGGCACCAGTTCAACCTGGTCATCTACATCTCTATTCTTCCATGACCACTGGAACTTCTTTGATAACCTCTGCTTTGAGAGGTTATTGAGAGCCACAAGATAAAACCAACATGAAAATCTAACTCCTATTATATATTTGTGAATCACCTACCTCAGAAACGACACTGTGTTAACCTCCCCACCCTCCCCAGTCAGCATCCCTCATTTTTGTTCAGATTGCTCATATGTATGGAAATGATTGTGAGTGCAGTGAAAATCATGGTACTGCATCAACAACTCTCAATATCTTTAGGAGTACCTGATTAGAAAGGTGGGTTTTTTTGCACTTTTCTAAAGTGCAGAGCAAATCAGCCTCATGATTAAAAATGTTAATGACCACTCCCTTCCTGGAGTTGACTATTCACACCAATCACACTTCCAGTAACTTTTCAGCTACAACTAACAACTTACAGCTCAAAGGAAGTGTTAATGTGTTTTCCATGTGTGATTTAGCCAGTGCTGCCTGAAATACACCTCCCTTGAGCTGAAATCAGGAAGAGTAAGAAATTGCACCCCCAATCTACACAGCTTGCTTACCTCCTCCTGTTTCGTGCCGGTGTGTTGCATCGTTCCCCTGAGAAGTGGTGTTGGCTGGGCCGAGCCAAAGGAGGCTGCCTGTTTGGTGTCATCTCCCATGGTCGCATTGGTGGTGATGGAGCTGGTGATGCTGCTGAATAGTCAAAGACTGAATGGGAAAGGCGTTGTCGCTTGGGACTAGGACTGTCTTCGCTCTATGCCAGTTAAAAACAAACAAAACAAAACCAAAACCCACCTCCGGATGAGTGAATTACAGTCCACACTTCATATTGCTTTGCAGCTAGCATTAGGAGTGACTTACTGAAGACTGCACTACACCACCATGAAATTAAACATGCGCAAGAAGTTGACTATTTATTACCTTTGTAACACAAACTGGTGATGGCTCCCTAACCCTTAAAAGGATAACTACTAAATCATATTTTAGCAGCATTGAAAGATAAAAATTCTAACATCCATACAAAACTATGTAAGAGAAGAGTTATGTGAAGAAAATAAGGCATACCCTATTTTACATCCCCTTCTGCCACTGCATTTGTAGACTACGGGAGCATGGAAAAAAATATACTAACAGTCTGCAAAACAGTGTAATCCATACTTGTCAGTGAGCAGATGTCACACAGATCTTGCCCCCTGTATTGCTTCCCTCTCCTTTCAGGTCTGTGCTCAGTGAGTTCATCAGACATTTGCTCTGTACTACAGCCTATTTTAACTCTGCTATCTCAGTACAGTGGTGTTTCATGCTTCTACTTATTCATTAAAAGTACTTACACATAACCTGAAAATAAAATAATGACCTAATAATGACCTAAGTCTGTGTACCTCACTAGAATTCTGCAGTCACTACACAGTGCCTGAAGTTTTCAGTGCTAGTAATATGAAGGCCATTCTTCTCCATGTCATACTCTCACATTTGGTTCTGAACGCAACCAGCTCTCCCCTTCACTACTGAATAATCAAATAGAACTGTCATTCTTCCCAAAAGATCCCACAGATGTCTCTGAATCCAGCAGCAAATGCAATAAATGTCCCTGCCTTTCAACCCACTATTCTGTCAAAATTATCACATACCATGCTGTTAATAAGCATAAACGAAAATACAGAAAAGTAGTTCTACCCAGGAGCTCACCAACTGAACACACGAGAACTAAAAGCAACACAGGAACTTTTACAGTGGATCCATCCTCAAGTCCAAACATCACACAGACTTCTCTGACAGAACACTCCCTCTGCAAGCCAAATCGTGGTATTCTCCTGCCCTCCAACATGTCCACTCAACCCACCACTTCCATTTCAGCATTATTTCAACTAACCAGAATGACCCCAGATAGCTGAAGCAGAGAAAACTGAACTTGTCTGCAATGGCTCCTAACCAGACCCCTCAGAGCCTGGTAACTCACAGGTTGTTAGAGGTCTTATTTCAGATTTACTTGTAGACCAGCCTATGGCATCTTCTGGTTGCTTGCTCTACAGGGGCTGATCATCTTCTGAACACTGTCAGTTGCTTCTTGATAGGTTACCACTGACATACACACGATTGTCAAGGTTCTTTCCAGTGCAAGCATGCTCTTCTTTACCACCTGAAAGTTTTATCCAGCTATTTAAGCAAAAAAGGTACTTTTCCTCTCTTTTGACTTGTGGCCACTTTAACTAAATTCCAGTCCTTTTCAAATACTTTAGCACAAATTGCAGTTTCCCCCTACTACACACCTTATCTCAAGCAATCACTAGTAAAACTCCCCCTCCCCCGACTTCCTGTGCCCCTCCCCACTGGCAGAACACGAGACTGAGAAGTCCTTGACAGGGTAAGCATTAGGGAGCAAGAACTAAAACATCGGAGTGTTATCAGCATTGTTCTCAGACTAAATCCGTAACACAGCACTGCACCAGCTACTAGGAAGGAGAAAAATAACTGTTACATCTACCCTGCAGCCCACAAAAACCTTTATAAGTAAGGAACAGAAAAGGGTCAAAAAAAAAAAAAAAAGAAACAACCCCAACAAAAGCATAAAAATAAAGTAAACAGGGGTGTCCATTTTTAATTCTACATCTATTAGATGTAGAACTATCAGCACAGTTCTAAGGAAACAGGCTGACAATGGATGCATCTGCTTGTGGCTCAACCTCTTTTGAACTCCTTGACCAACTGAACTCAAGCTTTTTAGAGGAAAATAGTTCAAAACAAATTTGTGCACACAAGGGTTCAGCAAAGTACATATCCAGGCAAAGGGTGACTTTTCCCTCAGGTGCTCAACAAGACAAAACTGGAAGAGATCTCTGACAGGTGCCTAGAGAGCAAAACTACTGTGAAAGTAGGTGTTTTGTGAGATTTCAGAGAATGTCACCAACGGACAAATCATAAGGAAACTGTGCTACATTTGTTCTGCCATTCAGAGCTGCTTATTTAATCTGTTTCACTGGTGTGACAGAATAAGTCAGAAAGATGACTTGTGGCACAAGTTGGAGCTTTCAGGATGGGAGTTTTTATAACCTGATGATTTAAGTCCATTCAAAGAGAAACACAAGCCATAAACCCACAGCTAAGTAAGGTATGCTGGGGTCTTGGAAGTGCAAAAGAAAACGTCAAACAGAGGAAGGAAACACCAGGTTTAGTGAAGCTGGCATTAAATAAAACACCAAAGTAATAAAAGGACCACTGCTGTCCTGCCACATTCCATACGTGTCTTGGACTGGGGATCTTCCACTGCTACTGCCCCAATTTAAATCTGGCATCTTTCCTTCCCCTGCCCTAGTACACCCTGCCCTGCAGAAAGCAATCTACTTTGGAGAAGCAGTTCTTGAATGATTTTTCATTTTGTTCATGGAGTGCACCACTTCAAAGACAGTGGAGATGCAAACTGCTAAGCAGTTAGCCTACATCACCACGCCAAATCCCTCACACGCACAGCTATTACAAACCCCGTAATAAGTGGTTCTTGCCCTCTCCAGTAAGCAAGACCAGTTTCGCCCAGAATTGTTTCTCATTAGAAAGCAAAAAAGATAAAATAATTTTTGGAAATGCATGTAAGCATAGATTTAAAATGTAATTATGTCTTTTTTTGTACTGAAAAAGAAATAACCTGAAACTAAGACAGATTTATCTGCAATGAATGTGAAAAAAACCCAAAACAAACCTAAACTCAAGTAAGATTTGGTGTTTTACCTTGGTTTTTATTAAGAAACCAATTTTCATGTGATGAGTGTAGCAAGGTAATACTAGCATGTGCGAAAGCAGAGGGCGCTAATGACAGACACGTCCTGCAGAATTTAAGATTTGTTTTCATGTCATTTTCAACAAGCATGTGGAGTATCTAGTATTGCCAGTATCACTTTGCAATCTACATTACATTGGTCATTAAGTTTAACAGTTTATTTGTGGAGTATGATACTTCCAGCGATGACAGCAACTCCACAAATCCCCAAACCACTCTATTTGCATCTTGCTAACATTCAAAACATTCTCTGGGATTACTGCTGCTTATCACAGCTATTGCGCTACGTATTTTTCTCCTGCCCTGCAGGCAACAAGAGTAGAATGTCTGGAAGCTATCAAGAATATTGTATGGGGCTTTTAATGACTAAGGGAAAAGCACTGCCTTATTTTAGGTATTAATTCAACAAAAACAGCATGATGAACAGAAACATAGATTACTTCATCTTTAAAGTTAACTATGTCAGAACAAAGCTATCAGATTGCTACTAGTAAAAGAAGCAACTTATGCGAGGATGCTAAAACCTACAATCTCATCCCAAAAAAGTCATCATGTCACAAGCATCCCCAGTATTCTGCCCCGTTTTCATCTGTGTGCCCTATAAACTCTTGCAGTGTGATGGTAACAAAGATGATTAAACAGTATGTCTACTCGTAAAATACCCTTTAAAGGAAACATACTAATAAAAGAAATAATTAGAAAATGGTTTGTTATACTTCTGTATATGTTTCTTGCAGAAGATTTTTGTATGTTTTATCTAAATGCTGTTCCACTTCATTTGGGAAAGACTAAATATTTTCACCAACACAACACCCTTTGAGGTGTTTCTTTTCCAGTGAAATTATAAAGATTGCATACACACACACAGAGATGATCAACCATCACAGAAGGAAATTATTATCAAAACAATTCCTGACTGTATCTGAAAATTACTCTTCTCTCCAACACTGCATATTCTCACTTAATGGTCCTGGGAAGTACAAGAAGAAACTGCTCCATACCCTGTTTTGGTTTAAGCCCAGCCAGTAACTCAGCACCACACAGCTGTTTGGTCAGCTTCTTCTACCCCCACCCCAGGCCAGGATAAAGAGGAGAATTGGAAGAATGTGAACCCCACAGGTTGAGATGAGAACAGTCCAATAACTAAAGTATAATACAAAACTACTACTAATGAGGCAAATAGCAAGGGGAGAGAAGATAAAACTAAAAAGGGAAAGGAAAAAACAACAATAAGCACAAGTACTGCACAATACAATTGCTTACCACCTGTCGACTGATACTCAACCCGACCCAAGCAGCGATCTGAGCCTTCCAAGTAACTCCCCCCAGTTCATAATACTGGGCATGATGTGCTGTGGTATGGAATACCTCTTTGGCCGGTTTGGGTCAGGTGTCCTGTCTCTGCTTCCTCCTGGCTTCTTGTGGCCCCCCTCACTGGCAGAACATGAAAGACTGAAAAGTCCTTTATCAGGGTAAGCACTACTGAGCAAGAACTAAAACACTGGTGTGTTATCAGCATTGTCCTCAGACTTAATCCATAACACAAAACTGTGACAGATACTAGGAAGGAGAAAAATAACTGTTACAGCTGAATCCAGGACATACCCTCAATCTCAAATGTAGGGAATAAACTACATCAACCCACAGTCCACAAAGATCGTTATAATACAAGCAAACTAATGTTCAAAGAGAATTTTCAAGCATAGCCTTTCCTTTAGATGTTTTTACACAGGAAGTACAGCCTGATGGATGTACGTCATATAACCCTAAGACAGTGACTGGAAATCTGCAAGTGTATGTTTCCTCTTCATGAATGCATATATCTGTATGAAAAGGCAATGATTTTTCCCATGATACAAACTGATAAACATGAAATTAACAAGCATTTTCAAAAGTTACTATAGGTATCTCATGGACTAGTAAATAGAGCATTTTCCACATCCCACCTGCAAGCGATCTATGCAGTCCCAACAACAACAATCTAATTTCCACTCCACTAAATCTCTGATCATACCTACAGTAATAGCACATTCTTAGGCTTAACAGACAGTTGTGTCCAAATGCAGTGGCTTATTCACAGGACTAAGCCCAGCTAAAGTACATAATACAGCTCAGGTATAGTAAGGTCTGGAAGAGCTGAGCCCCAGGACACTAGAACCAAGACAGAAGTCACTATGTGACTGGATGGGGTTATCAAGACCTAGAGCATCTTCTACGTCTCATTCCACCTCATCCCAGAAAGCAGCAGAGGCAGAAGTCTAACTTAGGTCTGGCAATACAAGGTAGAGTTTACAGGCCAGTTCACTGCAGACCTGCATTTAACTGACCTGTTGCTCTTGGAACTGCAGTGTAATTGAGATTCTTTGTCATGAGCTGCCTCCACATCACAGCATGTCCTGGGCAGTGTGGTTCTTCCAGCGTCCAACCATTCACCTAACCTGTCATTACTCTTGACAATGAAGAAGTATGAAAGATGTTATCTCTTCACCGGTCTGTCCCTCGCAAAACCTCAAGAACCCATCAACTAGCTCCAACAGAAATCAGTCAATGTCAAAAAAAAAAAAAAAAAATCAAAATCTATTCTGACACCATTTATGAGAAAAAGTTAAGTGTCTGCTAATGGAGGAAGAGAGAAGCAGCTATTCCCACTGAGGAAAAAGAACACAAACCTCAACAGTTATATACTGCAATAAATACATCTTCACTGAGCAGTGGACAAAAATGTAAATGCAATTATACATTAATGCAGGATGGGTATCACAGACAGGGCTCTGGTCTCTATCAAGCTGCTGAGAACACTGGAGCCTGGTTTTAAAACACATTTTATTTCTGCTGCAAGAATGGCAGCAGGGTATTTCCACAGTTACTGCACATGAATGCTTCCGTTAAAGTCTCTACATAAAACTTAATAGTGGTTAATGGTTGGACTTGATGATCTTAAGGGTCTCTTCTAATCTAAATAACTCTATGAAAGAGAGAAAATTTACAAAGTATTTGGTAAAAGGAACACAATTTGTAAAATAAGAACAGCACTACCCATGGCATAAAGAGGATGCAAGTCCGTTTAATTTTTTGTGTTTCAGAGATACAATGGTATGTATCAATTAGACTGCTTCTAACAACTGTATCAAACCCACTCACGAGCAGCCTTTCTGAGCTGTCCCTAATTCACTAACATTTAACGGGATTAATTCATTATTTACTGATGGCAAGCACAGCAGACAACGTTGTTCTTCATCAACCAGAACTGACAATGAATCTTCCAGACAACACGTTTTTGCAAAAGACCTGAGGCATGTGATTGTAAATTGCACCAATAGCATAGGCTATACTCCACCAAATGCACCTCCTCATTCTATTTATGATCAGAACACACTAATAACCTGGATATTGAATTTGCTGTTTATTTGACATGAGGCTGACAAGCCATTCCCAGGGCTCTCTCTGTGTTAGTTCCTTCTCCAACATTTAATTCTCATTTAATCTGGTGTTTAGGATATGCAAGAAACAACATTAGGAGCCAGCTAAACCTAAACTGTTCAAGTTTCCCAGAGCAAGCATTTTCAACAGTCTCAAGAATTTGATTCTTAGGCAACAATTTCTCATGACAAATGCTGGAATATTCCTTTGCTGCATGTGAATTTAAAACACAGAAGAACATTAAAAAGGTGTAAAAATCTCAGCATCCTATCTGGCACACTGCAGCACTCTCAGCAGCAAAAAGAAAACAAGCAAACTGCGTTTAGTAGGACTACACCTGCCTCATTTTCAAGTTCTACTGCTCATAAAAAAAGGACAGTGCCTGAAGCATCTCCTTTCCCAAAACTGAAGTGAGTTTAAGAATCAAGGAAACACTCTGCCATCTCAAAGTTCTTCAAATGGAATTTCAGCACTACTTGTTACTGCTTGCAGCATTTGCTGCATGCAAACAAGAATCCGTTGAAATGTGAAAAGATTTTTAAATAATTTTTCATAAAAATGAATCAAAGCCATTTCAATGCTGCTAAATTATAACAACAACCAAAAAAAAAAGACAGTAAATATTTATTTTTATATCACATCAAGGTTTTTTTTCCAGATAGGGATCATTACCTCTCATAATCCAAACACCAGACAAACGTCAATAAGGGAAAAACCCCTCAGGTATACCTCCCTCTCTATCGAACAAAGTTGTAAAACTACCAATTTTACTTTAAAATCCCAATCTATGGACTCAATGTTTGAACTGAACTTTATCTATGGTGTGGGTGACAGTAAATGGAAATAGTGCTGTTCCTGCAGCTGTTTCCTGCAGTTAACATGCACAATGGCAGTAAGCAGAACCTGTCACATATATTTAGTGGATTTTTAAGCCTTCTTACTTAAAACAAGAAAGGTTTAAAGTTATGCAACAAATAGTACTAGTATCCAATAGTTTTATTTTTTTTTTCTATTCTCAGTTTATCATTTCCTACCACTTCAAGTTGCCTACCAAGATCTGAGTTCAAGTGTCCGTGTTTTGACACCAACACCCCCTAACACAATACAGAAAGCACCATTTCAGGTTATGGGGCCAACAGCAACTTCTTAGCATACAGAGTCCTGAATTCCTATTTTGGTATGTAAATAAAACCAAAGCTTAATTTTTAAATTAAAATCATGCTTTTCTATCTATAGAAAGGGGGCTAATTTCCAAAAAAACCAAGGCTGAAACACATTAAACTTTGCATGTGTACCATTAAGGTATGTTCATCACTATGAAGAAATTACTTTGAATGTCATAAAATATACTGAAATACTGACATACTTAAAATGATGCCAGGACAAGAGGAAACACGTTACATCAAGACAAGGTGTTCACATAAATCCACACTTCAAAGAAATCAGATTTTCAATTTTGTTCTTTTAGCTGATGGGGCAAGGAGTCTCAAGAGAAGTCCAGCCCAAAGCTGTCTTTATGCGAAAGTATTCTCTACGTATAGTTTCAATGTACAGTTTGTATCCACCACTGATTTTCTCATTTAGGTATGTGAAACTAAAATACAAGTACATCAACACAGACAGGGTAATTAAGACAATTATAAAACAAATCACACTCCACTTAAAGAATTTTTTCCCCATGTTAAACTATATATGTATGTATACAAGCATGCACACAGGCTTGGGGAAGAGTGGATGTAAAGCTGCTCATTGGAAAAGGACATGGGGGTGCTGATTGATGGAGCTGAACATGAACCAGCTTGTGCCCAGGCAGCCAAGAAGGCCAATGGCATCCTGGCCTGTATCAGCACTAGTGTGGCCAGCAGGGCCAGGGCAGTGATCATCCCCGTGCACTGGGCACTGGTGAGGCTGCACCTCGAATCCTGTGTTTAGTTCTGGGCCCCTCACTGCAAGAGAGACATTGAGGTGCTGGAGCGGGTCCAGAGAAGAGCAATGGAGCTGGTGAAGGGCCTGGAGCACAAGTGTGATGAGGAACGGCTGAGGGACCTGGAGGGTTTAGTTTGGAGAAGAGAAGGCTCAGGGGGGACCTGGAGCACAAGTGTGATGAGGAACGGCTGAGGGACCTGGAGGGTTTAGTCTGGAGAAGAGAAGGCTTAGGGGGGACCTTATCGCTCTCTACAACTACCTGAGAGGAGGACAGAGCCAGGAGGTGGCTGGTCTCTGCTCCCAAGGAACAAGTGATAGGACAAGAGGAAGTGGCCTCAAGCTTTGCTAGGGGAGGTTCAGACTGGATATTAGGAACAATTTCTTTCCTGAAAGGGTGGTCAAGGCATTGGAACAGGCTGCACAGGACAGTGGTGTGGAATCACCGTCCCTGGAAGTGTTCAGAAACCTTGTAGACGAGGCCCTCAATGTCATGGTTTAGTGGTGGCCTTGGCAGTGCTGGGGCAATGGTTGGACTCCATGATTTTAATGGTCTTTTCCAACCTAAATGATTCTTTGATTCCTTTTAAAGCTCACTATATTCAGATATGCACTACATACTACAGAGTAACTGTTTTAAATCTATGTGGGCCATTTCATTTTTACTAACAGCTCATAGTAAGTTAAGAGTTGTTTTTAAAAGCTTTGGAAAAAAAGAACTGTTCTCCACTATCTGTTGGTATTTGAACACACCTTTTGCCCCAGTAGCTTGCAGAACTTTTGCATGCATCAGATTCACCACAGACCCTGTGAACATAGTAACTGCTGCAACAGTGTCTGGTTCCTCTGCCCCTACAAAATACACATACTGGGAGGCTGTTATTTAACAGAGGTCATGTAGACACGTATGTCATATTTATAATGGGATGTAATGGCTAGAGAGCTCAGTCCTCTTACTCTAAGTGACAGATTATGGGAGACAACAAAACCAAGAAAAACACTGGTATTTTCTGCTAAGTTAACTTAAAAAAGGAATAGGAGAAAACACTACAGCTCCTCAGCTTCAAGAAACAGCTTACACTTCCACGGTATTTTCATTTACT